GTGTTTGATTTTTAGCCATCTCAGCCCTGTGGCTAGAGGAGATAAGGATATTCTTCAGAGCACACATAGAGGCTTTCAGATCATTTATGGGCACATAAGCTTGGAATTAAAATCCCCGAGTTCATCCTTTTCTTCTTCACTTTGTCCAGTGACATTAAGATCAACTAGGTGATCTTACATTCTCTAGTTTACCAATCAGTCAGTACCCAAATGTGTATTAGTTGGGGTTCTCCAAAGAAAGAACAGCAACAGAATGTAAACAGAGAAATGCATTTACTACAAGGAACTGGCTCAGAAACTGTAGAAGCTGAAGAGCTGCAATTGGCAAGCTGGAACTGAGGAAAGCTGATATAAGTCTAGTCTGAAGGCCTAAGAACCACGAGCGCCACTAGGCAACACCCTTTCCATTCTGGAAGCCGTGTCCTGGCCCCTCCAGAGTCACTTATTGATGGCCGAGCCCCGAGGGCCAGCTTTCTGCCTCATTCACGGGGAACGCCCTTCCTTGAGGACAGGGATCTCCTCGGTGCCATCCAGAGTCTGGGACCACAGGACAGTGGGGATTTTGTGTCCTCTTGTGACCCTCCTTTGCACTCACCTGGCCCCACCCGCCTATCCACCTGACCACCTCCAGCTGTTGAGCAGGCCCCAAGCCCTGGCTCACCTGACCACTTCCAGGTGTCCACCTGGGCCCAGCCCACCCAGGGGGTCAGGTCACCACTTCCAGCTGTCCACCTGGCCCCTCCCCCTCGTTGACATTGCCAGGCCCGCTGGTCCCCGGGCCCTGCCCCCTTGCTGACCTGACCACTTCCAGGCCTTCACCTGGGCCCAGGCCCAGCCCACCCCGCAGTCACGTCATCACTTCTGGTTGTTGGCCTGGACCCTCCCCCTCAACGACGACCCCACTCCAGCTGGTCCCTGGGCCCCACCCCCTTGCTGACCTGACCACCTCCAGGTGTTCACCTGGGCCCAGCCCACCCAGGGGTTACATCACCACTTCCATCTGTCCACCTGGCCCCTCCCTTTAGATGACGTAACCACTTCCAGCTGGTCATCCGGACCCAACAAACCTGGCTGACCTGACCACTTCCGGGTGATCACGAGGCCCTGGTTCACCTCCTAACCACTTCAGGCTGGTCCCACAGGCATTCCCCCTACCTTTCCAGACCCCCCGGGTCAATTGACCAGTGAGCCATACTGGCTGGGCTACCTGGCTCCTCATGCAGAGGGGTGGGGCTTCCCCATCACTGGAAGTTGGGTTAAAGGCCTAACACCCACAGCCCACAAACACCGTCTGCTCACAGGATGCCCTCCACCCCGTGGGGAGGGCGGCAAGCTGCGGGCTGCCAGCCCTCCTTTAAGGTAGCTATGGGGGTCCATAAGCCTTGGGCCTCCCCATCCTCACGACCAGAGGGGCATCTCACACTGGAGTGGCCTGCGACCCAGACAGCCTTGTCTGTGGGCTATGTTCTCTCTATTTGACCTTTGATGGGGACTTGTAACTGCTATAAGCAATACAATGTGACAGAGATTTGTGCAATATAACCTCCAAATCTAATGTAATAAAAGAGAAACATGCAAATTGACTGCACCTCTGCTACACCCCAAGCCACGCCCACCAGCCAATCAGAGTGACCATATGCAAATTAACCCAACCAAGATGGCTGCCGACAGCCACGGATCTGGAGCAACCAGGAAGCTTGGTTGCCCTGGGGATGGCTATGGCCTCTGCTCAAGGCAACAAAGTTTCAATTATAGAAGACAAATAAATCCCAGATACCTGCTTTTAGCCAGCCTCCACTGGGAGCTTGGAAGGCTGGGGGCTGTGGTTAGCCTGCAAACAGCCATCAGCCCCTCACTTGGGCTGGCCAGGCACCCCAGTGGGACCAC